TAGATGTTTAAAGAGAAAGATCTAGAATTTCCTCAACAACGATAACTCCGTTCATAATGCAACTTAATAATATTAAAAAATAAAAAATAGCATTATAAATATATATCTAAATACCTAAAACTAAATACAGGTACTATCCACAGAGCCTAGGACCCCTTTGGCAAATGTTGCAGGGTCATCGGTCAACCTGCCGTATTTATAATAACTTCAATGGATATCCCTATGCAAAAGGCTGCCGAAGAGGCAACATGGCGAGTGCTCTAACCCGAAAAATGGGTGGTATCGATGCTACTAGCTGTAAGGGTAAGCTTAATCCATTTGCTCCATCTTTGCGTTGACACTGGTCAAAAAGGTTTGTATTTGTAAACAGTAGAAATAAGTCAGTGTCAGGGAGACGAATGTCATTAGTGATATGTTCATAATGATCAATAATAACAGCTCCTAAGCAAACAATTTACATTTCCTTAAAATACTATGGCTGTAAATGTTTATTAGATGAATTTTAATTCTATCTGAAATTCTAATTTCTATTCTATCTGGAAATCTAACGGATGCTTGTCATAGTTTGTAAACTGTGACCTGTGACTAACGCTAATAAAGTAGTTAGCTTGATCGTTAAATGTAGCCTAGAAATATCGGATAGAGGAAATAAACTGGCCAGGTATAACAGCTTATCTGAATTGTCTACTGAAAAAAGCAAAACTATACCTGCATGTAGCGAGTTAACGATTAAATATAACCTAACAACATAACCTCATGTTTAAAATGTCAGTATCAAATTTAGAGAGTAGTCAAATGGATTATGCCTATTTGTACTGAAAAAGTCACACAATTTTTTTAAGTATGAACTGTATTGTTTTAAAGTAGATAAACTTAGTGACCGAAGTATTATTGCTGGGAAACCTCTTTTGTGAAAAGATTCCCGGATGGTGGATGGCAATTCCTGAAAGATGAAAAAATGAGAGTTTGGTGTGAAAACAAACGGTTTTCTTGCAATAAGTTTATAAAAGACAGAAACCCTAGGCTGGGTATTCCAGTGTGGAACCACTACTATTCTTAGGGCTTTTAAGCAACGATATTTTGTCAACATTTTAATATAAGACTAAATGGAGGAAAGGCATAGAAAGATTGATCCTTTCGAGAAATTGTAAAGGCATCTGCCGCTACGGACGTAGGATCTGGTTTCAATATCATATCTAATACATTTTGCATTTATTTGCGTTGCAAACAGGTCCATCGTAGTTGTTCCAAAACAGCCACATATCTCGCGGAAAGCATAAGTATATAATTCATATTCTGTATAAATTAGGGTAGAACGGGATTTCCTATCTGCATGGATATTGTCCTTAGTATTAACATATAAGGCAGTTAAGAAAATACGCATTCGATTGATGAATGCTATAGCTGTCACATTAACTACTCTCAAAATGGAACAATTCCAACAACCTGACGCGAGTCATTTAAATGCCAGAAACCATGCGTAACTTTATTCATAGATTTGGCACGGCAGCCTGTTAGAGAAGCGTCAAAAAATATTTCTAGAGCAAATATTGAATTTGTCACTATAGAAGGACCTTTCTGATTTTATACATTCTGAGATTAATAGGGTTGCATGATAATCCTGGTTACTAGAGCATAACGCTAAATACTTTTTTGCTCTGATTTTTAGGTGAGGTCAACCGTATTGAACAGTGGGGCGCCGCTACAAATTTTCCTATAGTTTGAGCCAAGAACATAAATGAGCAGCTATCCTTTGATAAAAGTTTGGCAATTTGAACTAAACGAAGAATATTTTTCTCTATTCGTAAAAAAAAACTTTAAACGATATAGAGTTATATGGAAAATCCAAAAAGGTACCATTTTGAGAAGGCCCTAATACACCTTTAAATTAAGTTAAGAAACCACCAAAAAACATTTTGTACTTTGATAGTCTTACTGATGATGAGAATGCCATCTAAATAAATAAAACAGACAATGCCGTTAGACCTTAAAAATTTTACTAGACTTCACGATCTTTGTAAAGGCGAAAGGCGCCGCATAATCTAGCCAAAAGTTCAACAATTAAAGGCATTATAAGAACGTTTATTCGTCAAAGATACATATTTTCTATATTTATTGTCAACTGGAATCAAGAAATACGCTTCTTTAATATCTAGTGATGTAAAGAAACAAATTTGGAATATTAATTTAAAGACTGTCCTGTGATCTTCTAATTTAAAATGACGAGAATATAGGAAGCGGCTCAAAATGAACCTCGACGAATCATCAGGTTTGGGAACCAAGAAAATTGGTGTTAAATTGTGATAATTTGGCAATAGTGTCCTCTAACCTAGACAACTCTTTTAAAGAGTTATTTAGGTTTTGCTAAAAGGAATCTTATAACCAGAAATCGAAGAGAGGACAATATGGTCATTGGTGATCAGAGTTCATTTATCTAAATAATTAGAAAGTCGGCCTGCGCAACCTGTATTTACCTGAGGTATTAATAACTGTTCTGTGGCTGCTTGAAGTTCTGTTACGGGAGAGCATATGCGCGGCTGGGAAGATATCTCCCGGCCGGAGTTTTGTGTTTTGTTTTTTAAGAAAACGATTGGGTAATCTTATCCTTCTTTTTAATGGTAAAATCCAAAAGTTGCGGCTCTTTGGAGTTTTTTAACAGGTCCAGAAAGTTTTTTTTCCAAAACAACAAGTCATCTATCGGACAAACATCTAATAATTTCTTTACTCCGCTGTCCAGAAAAGAAAGAATACAACGACGACGATGCAGAGATAGCGCGTGAAAAACTTCCGAGAATATTTTCGATGGATCACACCTCTTTTCCAGCTCCTTTTTTGATTCTTGTGTTGCATTCTGTCTCATTGTGTCGTACTGTTCGTCAAGCAGAATCGCTAAAGCGCTTATACCAGCCGCTAACTGAGACTGCAGTTTCCGTAGAAAATTATTCTGTTTTAATGCATTTGCATCCAGGCAACACTTGATTTCCTGATTAATTTTAGGCGGCTGGAGGGCCGGGCAGTTGGAAATACGTGGATAAGAATCTATAGCGGTAATTCGAGATTCTTTTTCAACCCCTTTAAGACGGAAGTTAATACGAAGAGCAGCTACATCCGAGTGGAGGGCCTTTAATACTCGAGTATTGGTTACTTAGCAATGATAAAATATTTTGGGCACCATCATCAACCAAACCAGTTTGAACAGCAGATGATGATTGTACGCAAGTTATAAGAGAGGTATCCGGATTAGAGTTCGTCTCTGCTTCCTCATTTGAAGAAATTCCAGAGCCTGTAAAAAAAGCAGACCATAAAAACTAGAATTCCAAGATAAAAACAGTCGATCGATAAGCTTCGATTACTTGTTCATGTAATGTTTGAAACGAGTGCTAAAATACTCAATTTATGCAGGTGAAAACTATATTGAAAAAATTAATTTTATTGCACTGCATTTGACGGTGCCAAAAAAATAGAATTCGTATGAATTCTGTACGACAAACTAAGGTTAATATTCAATTTGACGGTGCAAAACAATAAAATTCATGTGAATTCTGTTAAGGGTATTACATATGTAAACCCTCCTGTTTGAAAAACAAGACATTTGGCTAGCTAAACTGAAAAAAAATAACGTAAAATAACAATATCCATACTTACTAGTTTTCTAATAACTGAAGCAATTTCTTAAATTCTTTCTTCTGCTTACAGTCCACCTCCGAAAATATTTACACGTCAACATCGAGCACACGAAAAAATTGCAGTGAAGGCTAGTGGCTTTAGGTAAATATGTGAGCGAGATGGGAGTTGAGGACTATACTAAGGAAATTTAGCTTGAAAAATTGGTGCAGACCGAGCCGGGAAAAAATTGCGACTACAAGAAGATATTGTAATTGTAATTGTAAATATAATGAACTTTATTTACTCTCTCGTTGAATCACCGTGAGCAGTTATTTATCAGTATTTTCGGAATCACTAATGTTTCCTATGGTATGGTAAGTGTGCCTTGCTCGCATCAGACAGCAAACACATTGCTTTTAATTATTATTGATATGGTAGCCAAGAAAATGTTGTCTTTGAGCGCTTAGCACGTCTTGGCACCTATATTCGTAATTAACGAGAGGATAAATCCGGAAAATAATAATGATAATTTTAAAAAATATTGGTATGACAAATATCTTTAAATTTTAAAAAATTGATGTAATTACTTCAAATTGTTTTTTATTTGAGTGCATAATATTTACAATTTTAAATTCAAGTTTTAAAAGTCTACAATAATAAAAGAGACATACACATTACAAAAATATAACATACAATTCATATTCGTTAATTGTCCCTTAATTTTTCAAGCGTTTTCATGGCGAACAATAATAAAAGTATGTTCAAAAATATTATTCCTTAAACTACAGTTTTTTTCATTTTATGATTGCTAAAAAATAAAAGGCCTCTGTGTAAAGAGATGACGAAGACATTATAAATTTTTTTATTTTAATTTCTTGTTTTTTTTACAGTAAAGAAATGAAATAATTCTTTTTTTATTTAACCAAGGTTTGTCCAATTCAAGGAGCCCGTGCCCTATGAAAACGTAAGAGTTGTCTGATTTAATGTGATAATAATTGATTCCGTAAATTTAACCTTTACTGGAATCGACAAAGTACAAAATGCAACGCTAACACGCTCCTCAACAATAATTATTGTCGAGTGTGATGTACGACTTAATTGCCGATTTAATTTCGGCTCATGACCGTATCGCTATTGTTATCGCGTGTACGAGGTATAATTTATTTAAATTAAAATACATTTAGGCAGCGACAGACGGAACTTTGCCAATTTCGCACCTCGTGTTAGTAAAATTTATCCGCACAGCAAAACGTATAAATGAAAGATATTTTCCTTAAAAACAATGAAAAATTAAAAAATCGTCGTAAAGCGTTAAAAATCGATTTTAAACATTCAAAACCTGACAAACTTCCTGTTGCAGGTGATTCACGCTCGTTTTCCTCAATGTTACGTACTTGTTGCGCCTTATACTGATGGGAAACGGAGTAACCTAGTTTCAGGTTAGCGGCGAAGGTCATGGCCTCTTTCACTGTCAAAGCTAATCGCAGTTCTTCCTCTTGCGGAATATAAGCCGACAACTTTCTAAAACGCGGGCTGTTGTCTCGCTGCATGCCGTTCAACGTCACTTTACCCGTACTTCCTCGAGTTCTGTGAACAAAATGCATCGTCATCGTTAAGTTCTTCCGGCAACGCCACTGTAGCCAGCACCTTGTTATTTTTTATTTGCCTTTGCCTCCAGACGAAAGCGCTGAAAGTCCCGCAAAATAAAATATAAAGTTGAGTTTAATTAGGCAGAATTTGTCAGAATTAAGTCATAATTTCTCAGAGATAATTCAGAATCTCTGAGTAAGAAGTTAGAATTTCTGACTAAAATTAAAATTTCTGAAAAACAAGTCAGATTTTCTGAGAACAAGTCACAATTTATGAAAAGCAGTCAGCATTTCTGAAAAATACGTCAAATACTCTGACGTAAGTTTCTCGTGAGGGACATCGCGAATCGAAAATATTATGGCATTTTCATAATATTTTGTTTTTTCATAACTATTACCAAAATTGTTATTTTCAAATATTGGTTTTTTATTGCTGTTGGTATTTTTTCGCGTTTTAAGTATTTATAAAAAAGATAAAAAATGCAATCAACTTTTAAATCGGAACTTCTTTTCAGATTTTAATCATGTTTTAACCAGAACTCGACAGGTTAAAAAAAATTTGTCAAGTCAAAAATCCTAAAATTGCTAATTTTTATTATTATGCCATAAAAACTAACCAAAACTTCCTCAATTAATGAAAAAATTCAGAATTAAATTCTGACACATTTCTAAGAAATTCTGATAGAAATCAGTAATTCTGACTTGTTTCTCAGAAATTTTGACTTAGGTCAGAAATTTTTCTCAGAAATTCTAAGTCTACAAAACTAAAAGAAAAATCTAAAACTTATGTTTTATTTTTTGTGGCCTCTCAGCGCTTTCGTACCTTTAAACATAAGAGAAACACAAAATTATAGATATGAAATATGGCGGAAATTTTTTGAACCAAAATTCTTTGTTGATATCTATCCATCTAGGTTTTTCCCAGCGCACCACAATCGAAATGCTTGTTGGCTGCTTTAGTACAACGAGACTGAGATTGGGATGGGATTGGGAGTCAAATTACAGCATACCAAACAACCCACCCAACCGTAGGGAAACGAATCGAAAACTTTTGAATAATTTTAATGAAATTCAGTATGCCACTGGGTAGAGTGTATAATCCGTTCAGTTTTAAAGAGATCGAAATTCATTCCGAACATAAGGATGTACCGTGACTTGTAGGGCATAAAGAAATATCATGTTTTCATATTTGGAGTATTCTTGAGGAACATGTGCACTAAATTTCGTTAATTTTGCATGGCAAATAAGTTTAACGTAGCATTTTTAAAAACTTGACCAGTGTTTGTTTGGTCCGCTATAATTTGACACAAATTTAGATCCCAATCCCAAAGTACTTTAGCTACGTTATTAGTACAGAGTGACGCGACAACCTTTGACAAATATGATAACAGCGGTGCTTCCTTCTCTTTCATTCTGATAGTGTTATTTTTTAAAACTTCGTATAAATTTCTAAGGGAAAATATTACGTTATTTTATATTGAAAACCTTGGAAGTCGGTTTTAAAATAAAAACGCAGTCTTAGCGCATATCTATTTTAAACCCAGCTCTACATCTTTCAATAGCTTTTTTTTTCACTTTCAAATTCTCGTAAGTCTCATTTTGTTCGATAACGCCTAACATTTCAAGTTAGTTATTGTTTCAAATGAATAGTTTTAATTCCATATTAAATAAATATATTGAGACAAAAATTCGGATTAGTTCAGCATCAGCGAATTTTTGGCTGCTACTTTTACTAATAGAATATAATACAATTTGTCTAATTCTACATTGCGTCATTTATCTAAAAAGAAGAAAATGGCTATCAATCAAAAATATTTAGTTCCTTGGCACTGATCCACATATAGGTAGGCAAAAAGTCACCCAAAGCTATATTCTGTGCAACATCTACGCCATAAAGATTATTTTAAATGATTCTTTTCTATTTCAGTAAACCAAGAAGCAAGAGTAAAATGACGTTTAATGAAGAAAGTCACTGGCGCCTAAAAAATACCGCAACATCTTTATAATGCTTTATTAGCTAGAAGAAGGTCGAAATACCCGATGCTCCCAATAAAATGAATTATGTGATGTTAAAACCTTGTATGCCAGTGCGTCAGATAAAATTTATAATATCAAAAACTCTTAAAAGTATTCATTAAATTATGGATAAAAATGTAAACAAAAGTAATTCAAAGTTAATGTAGACAAATTTGGTAACCTGTAAAAATTTGCTCGTAGTGCCTCGTCAAATATTGATGTTAGAAAAAAGTGAGCTTTTGGAAAGCTTTAAAAGGATTCAGCATAAAAGAAATATGTTTTTAGTCATTAGAAGAGAAAATGGGACATTCATTGTTGGTATTATTTAAAGCCAACATTATTTATCTGTAAAAGCACTATCTTATCTGCATATCTAGTTGGTAGTCTGCCAGACGCATACTTGAGTGGATCAAAAAGTAGATGTCGAAACAAAGTTCCTTTTTAAATGTTACGCTTTTTTTAAATCCTTTTTAGATTTCTGTGTCAAATTTCCCTCATAATTCATATAGCATATCATCATACCATCCATAAAAAACAAATTTAATTTTGAAATGGACCGGTAAGTACTATTAAAGTTCTTAAATTCTGATAATTACATTTCTGTCAGTCAAGAACGTGAATATGGCGCGTCTAAATAAAACCCAAAAGAGAATTGAAATTTTATTTTTTTTTGGTGCATCTTCTGAAGTAGCTTCAAATAATAATGAAGATAATTCCGACCGCAGAGTACATTTTGTTAAAATTGTACCGTAAATAAACAAAATTGTAGGCATTAAAGTAGTAATATTTCCCAATGAATGAGAGAAAATCATACATAACTTCCACAAAAAATAAATGTTTGGGCAGGGACTTTAAATAATATCTTTGATCAACATCTTACTGGAGCCCGATATTTACAATTTTTCTATTTCTACTCTCGCAGTTTATTTCCTAAATCCAAATCAGCCAGATCGATATATTTGGTTTCAACAGGATGGTGCTTCGTCCCATTTTGTTCGTCAAGTACGCGTGAACATTTAAATAACGTATTTTCCGGACAGAGACAAAGATAGAAGGCGATCAATAGAATGGCCTGCAAGATCTCCAAATATTACTCCACTGTATTTGTCCTCTGGAGTTATTTAAAAGTGTATAAGGGAGAACCACAAAATTTTGATGATTTAAAATTTAGAATTAAATACGAAATAACAAAAATTAATTAAAATAATGTTTTGGAAAGGTTTTTAAATCAATAAGCCTATTGTCAAGAGTTAGTGGTGGGCCCTTTGAACACCTAATAAAAATAATTTTTGTTACATGCTGTTTCTATACATTTTCTCTTACTTTCACTCACTGTGGACCTTGCAATGGGTATTTCTGGATATTTTGAGTTAAACAAATTACAAACTTCTTGTTTTCCTAAAAATAAAAATTTTTATTCAAGGAACTTGATATTGACATCTAATTTTTGATGAGCATGTTTAAATAAATTTATTCCATACTTTTGCCGTTCATTTTTCATTTTATTTAAATCTATTTTATTACACATTTCCATTCTAAACGAAATTTATATTATTTTTAGTTTTTAATCCAGTATCCAAAGTTTAAGTGCAACGCTGATAACGCTTTAAATGCGACGCCGATAATTTTCCTTTTATTATTGTAATACTTAAACTTGTTGGAAATATTTGTATATAAATGTGGTACTTACACAAACCCAGCCAAAATGTTTAACAGGGTGCTTTTTCCGGCCCCGGACGGGCCCATAATTACGGACAACTCTCCGGATTTAAACTTCCCAGACACACCGTGGAGTATGGTTTTCGTTTCTGCAACAAACAAAAAATACTTTAAAGGAAAAAGCACACTGGTGGCATTTCAGCCCGTCCCTGTTAAAGCGAGGAAACATTGAATGACGGTGGCAAGACGTTCTATCCGAATTGGTAACGAAACGACCTTCAAACTAAAAGAATAAACTGAACATAATAACTAAAGTTGTCATTCGCTGTTCGAAGATATATTTCAAAATTAAAGAGGCGTTGAAATTTAATTAGGAACTTATTAAGTGGTAATGGATATCGAAACTTAATAACTAGGTGCTAATTTAAAAGGTCGGAACTGCGTATTATTTAATAAGGTTTAATTAGATATCTCACACGATTTAATTTCTCTACACTCTAATTTAAACTGTTTTTATTGCTTTCCTTTTAATTTTAGATGGGCGATATTTAATTTACCAGAACACATTTGGAATTGACGATTGTAAATCGACAATGTTGACCATCGCCATATTTTTAATAATCACATAAATATTAACGTAAACAACGTATAAAATATCACCGATAACGGCTAAATCCACAAGCGGTTTGCTTTCGTATCCGTTCACTTTTGTCATTATCTAACCAAACAAAAAAAATATTAAGTGGCAGATAGAGTTTGTAAACGCGTTCATATGTAACGTAATGTTAAAATTACACAGGCCAACAATTTTTAAATTTTTGAAAGTTGATATCGATCTGATATTTGATTCTGTATAATTTAGGCCTCCTAAATTTATATCTGATAAGCACTTTCCTCTATCACGTATCAAGATTTAAGGAATTTATAAATGAAAATCTCCGTTTATTCAAATATTATTTTTATTGGCCGAATTGATTTTTAGAAAGTTTCTCCCTTTTGGCCGAAAAATTTCCTCTAGTAGATTTTTAATAACCATCAGTCATTTGCCATCATTGCAACGTTCCATCGACCTTGACATCTGCGTTCCATTTTTTAAAATCTTGGTGGGACCTCTCATTGGTCTTCACTCACAGCATCCAGATTTTCGTAAAAGTAGTCCATATGTAAGTGTAACATGTTTCCTAAAATGTCTTGGAAATTTCGATATTTGTTGTTTCCTAGAAAAACTTTTTATAATATCAATGGAACCCATACAACCTGTGTTCATGCAGATTCGTTCCTGGTATTCACAAAGTCTTGATCTCGCACTATTTGCGGACCTACAAAATTCCTTCTATTAATTTTGAACCTCAGAGAGCGAGATATATTTCACGTAGGTACTGCTTCATCAGTCTTAATACAATATGCAACAGTGTTAACAGAAGAAAGTTTTTTGATCCGGGAGTTAAATTAACCTTTTTGGTCAGTTCTCTTTCACCCAACGTTGCTGTCTGTTTCTACTGTCCCACTCACATAAAACAATCAAAACACAAAAAATGCCTTTAAATACTGAATAAAAAACTGTTAAATAACACCAAACACGACCTTTCTTCGTTGACCAGTTAAAAAATGTTTAAAAACATCTTGCAATTGTAGTGTTATTTAATAATAATATGTATTTTATAATAAATTATTATGCGTTGGTGATGTTCAATTTAACATTTCTTAGTATTTTTATATTATTTCGGTTAATTGACCAGTCAATTGGCACAAAAAAAATTGACCGGTCACTTCCACAACCCTAGGAGCAACTTTAAACTCTTGAATGGAAACCGCCATTTTTATTTTAACAAAAATGTTTTATTTTATTTGCTTGAAAATATACAGGTCAATGTTGTGAATCCGATATTACTGTCAGCATTGCTTAATTTTAACATATTTTGTCTACTCCTCCCTTACTTCAAAATAGCCAATTATACGCTAATAAGGCGTGCTAAAACGTCGACTTCATCAAAGATTCTCCCTAGGCAATTTGAGCATTTCCGCTACTTTAGTCGCGGGTTTGGAGAGATCAAATTTTTTCATTATATTAAAAACACTCGTTTTGCATTTATAAATGGCATAATGGCACATTTTAGAGTAGGGAGTAAAAAAATATATTAAAACACTAAAATTGTATTCCTAACACTGACCTGCGTATTTCTTGATAAATATTATAAATCGTTTTTTCGGATTACAGCGCCATCTGCCGAGAATCCAACGGACACTTTCGAAGAAAAAGTGACGTTTTTGTAGCCTAGAATAAAAATAGGGGTTTCCATTTAAGTTGCTTAACCACTTGTTGGTTCGGATGTGGGTTTTGTTGTTATTGAACATTGAACAGTTTTTCTAATGTCATTCATTCCCTTTACTACGCCATAAAGCAATATTAAAGAATAAAATAGTATATCATGCAGTAAGTGTGGTAAACGGCATTTGAGTCACGACTTTATTAGGCACGAGCGGAGCGCTGCGTAGCGAGTGTTTATAAAATGTGTGCGTGACTTAAACAGTTTACCATACGTGTTGCATATTATACTTTTTCTACGACCGTTAGTTCTTGGGTACATTTTTGCAAAAACGTTGTGCTCGTGCCAAAACAATACTCCTGATTCAAAGGACGTTTTAATAACTTGTTGCACAATATACTGTTTATTCATTCTTAGTTTAGTCTTTAATAATTCATATTCGTTAATTTTTTAAGAAACCCATCACTATTACTGTTCTCAAAACGAAATACTGAATTTGATATGGCCTTAATATAAATATAAACAAATACAATATTCGCAAATTTATGAAATACGTGATTCTTCTTATTATTATTTCTTATTTTTTGTTTGGAAAGTTCTTGATGCTGTTCGATATTTAAATTCTTGTTTGCATTATTTAGAAAGCGGGTGAAACCACAGTCTTTGGCAATGACTTTGCACGGTGTTATGGTTTGCAAAATCGATGTTGATTACCAGATCTACAGTATTAATCGCAGTGAAAGAAGTAATAGAAAATGTAGTTTTTAAGTATAAATGGTGCATTTAATATCCGTAAGAATTAAACAAAAGGATTCACTTAGATAGAAAAGAAAAAAATATATAATTTTTCAGTTTTACATAAAAACGTGACTATCGAGGTTAGCTATTCCTATTACACGTATAACATGTTGTACAGGGTATTCCCATAAATGTAGGTAAGATATAAAGCGGACCGCACTTAAGGCTTGCTCGATTTCCGGATTTAAACCCTCTGGATTTTTTTCCGTATGGTCACCTAAAATCTTTGGTTTACGTTAGTCCTGTGGAAAATGTAGGGGACCTAAGAAATCGAATTATTGATTATTGCAATTAGAAACCACCCTGGTATTTTTGATAGAGTTCACCAGTCCACGAAGAGAATATTGGAGATGCTCGCTTTCAGCAGTTTTTGGTAAATGTATTGTACGTGGGTCGTCGCGACCCTGAGGTTAATTTAAAGCGGACTGTAATTTTTTTTAAGCAGAGCCCACAAGACGTGGTCTTGAGGGTAGAGACGGCACTAACCTCTTGTCGCTGCTGTCTCGCTGGACTGGGGCCCCAATAGCAGCTCCTCTTCGATCTTGAGGATCACGGTCTCGGTACGGTGGAGGTGGTTCACACGCACACGCAACGCGGAGGGAGACAATAGTTTTTTCTTTTGGGGGTTCAACACTATCGGCGTGCTATCGATGCCAAGTTCGAATGCGAAAACGTTAAGCACGTTCTTCGTCGCACGTGCGCGCTCTCCCTCTCTTTTAGCTCTACATTTTCTGCATGGCGGCGGCACCTTACGGGCCACTAAATTTTTAAACTTCCGCGGTTCTTGCCCGGGTGTTCGCTTTGCGAATTTAACATTCCACCCACCAAAACCCACAGTTTTCAAATAACCGAAAGGCACCCATAAGGTAAATGAATGGATACGAAAAAAAAAAGGGTTTTCTATAAAAGAAAGAACAAAAGAAACTTCTTGCTAACTTAAATACTAAAAACGGGTAATTAACCTAAATATTGTATGGCTACGTGATTACCCACGCGTCAGTGATTGGGTAAGGGACAGAGTTTGACCACGGGCCGTTGCATAAGTCCGGTGGGGGTTTTTAGAGTCACCACCCGGACGAAACCATCGGTGCCCGGGTGAACTTTGGTTACTCGGGCTAAAAGCCATTGAAGAGGTGGTCTTTGCTCGTTCTTTATGAGTACCAGCCTCCCCACCTGAATATTATCGACTTTCTCGCACCACTTCGCCCGCTGCTGAAGAGTGTGAAGGTATTCATGTTGCCACCTTCGCCAGAAGTCGGTGTGCATCCGCTGAATTAATTGCCATCTGCTAAGGCGATTGATGCGCATATTGGAAAGATCTGGATCCGGAATGCTAGAGTTCAGGGGCTCCTGCGTTAAGAAATGGGACGGAGTCAGTGCCTGGAGATCGTTGGGGTCGTTAGAGACAGCGCACAACGGGCGCGAGTTGAGAACAGCCTCTATTTGCACGAGCAAGGTATACATCTCCTCGTAGGTGAGGAGTTGATCGCCAAGCACTCTGTAGAGGTGAGTTTTTACTGATTTGACACCGGCTTCGGCCAAGCCGTTGAAATGTGGAGCGCCGGGGCTATTAAAGTTCCACTGAATAGCCGCAGTCTGGGCGGCGAGTTTAAAATATTCGACGATTTGTTTATGGGCACCGACAAAGGAGGTTCCTTGATCGCTGATTATTTGTGAGCATCGGCCTCGGCGAGCTACGAACCGCCGAAAGGCGGCAATGAATGCTTCTGAAGATATAAGAATTTAGTGACTTGGCACCTCGAGACTTGCTCATGGTCATCGAGAGGGGGCCGGCGTAATCTAGGCATACCACCGAAAAAAACTTTTAGTTCTGAAACTCTTACGGCTGGGAGGTCGGCCATAAAGGGAGAGTAAGATTTGGGCTTCGCCCGGAAGCATCGAATACACTGGGACAAGACTCTCTGTATAGCAGTGCGTGGGGAAAGGATCCAAAATTGCTGTAGCAAAATGTATTGAAGAGTCTTAAAGCCTACGTGTAGGTTTTGTTTGTGTGCCCAGCTCTGTCAATCGGTGAGATTTGGGCAATAATAAAGGATGCTTCTCGTCATAGGATAAATTGGAAC